TTCAGTATATAGCTATCCTCACTCGGCGCGTATATGTCTGGCAAACTCAAATACCAATCCATCTGTGAGGTTTCAGTATGCAGCCATCCCCACTCAACTCGTCGTTGTGTCTGGCAAACTGAAAAACCAATGCATCTGTGAGGTTTCAGTATGTAGCTATCCCCACTCAGCGCATCAATGTGTCTGGCAAACTCAAAAACCAATCCATCTGTGAGGTTTCAGTATGTAGCTATCCCCACTCAGCGCATCAATGTGTCTGGCAAACTCAAAAACCAATCCATCTGTGAGGTTTCAGTATGTAGCTATCCCCACTCAGCGCATCAATGTGTCTGGCAAACTCAAAAACCAATCCATCTGTGAGCTTTCAGCCATCCTCACTCAAAGCGTCTATGTGTCTGCTAAACTCAAGAACCAATGCATCTGTGAGGTTTCAGTATGCAGCTATCCTCACTCAACCCGTCTATGTGTCCGGCAATCTCCAATACAAACCATCTGTGAGGTTTCAGTATGTGTCCTTCCTCACTCCAAGCGTCTATGTGTCCGGCACTATCGAACATCACCCAACTCGTGAGGTTTCAGTATGTAGCTATCCCCACTCAGCGCGTCTATGTGTCTGGCAAAAACAAAAACCAATTCATCTGTTTTAGTATGCAGCTATCCCCACTGAACTCGTCTTTGTGTCTGCCAAACTCAAAAATTCATGCATCTGTGAGGTTTCAGTATGCAGCTATCCTCACTCAACACGTCTATGTGTCCGGCAATCTCCATCACTTATCACGTGTGAGGTTTCAGTGTGTAGCTATCCTCATTCAACGCGTCTATGTGTCCGGCACTCTAAAATCACTCAACCCGTGGGGTTTCAGTATGCAGCTATCCCCACTCAACCCGTCCATGTGTCTGGCAATCTCAAACCTCACTCAACCCTTGGGATTTCATTATACAGCTATGATCACTCAACACGTCTATGTGTCCGGCAATCTCCTACATCACTCAACCTGTGAGGTTTCCGCAAGCTATCCTCAATCCACTCATCCATGCAGCGCATACTATGGGGGCTATTTTTGGGGTGGCGTGTTTTACAGCGCTTTGCCAACAGCACCAACCCACTGAAGTGTAGAACAGGGGGGGCGACAGCGGTGGGGGGGCGGGGCGGCTTGTTTTACAACGTCGTTGCCAAGCGACGAAATTCCAACCCCGATGGCAAGCACCGGGGGGGGCGGGCAAAGGAATGTGAAGTCTTTTCAGTAAGTGGATTGAAACCAACTGGAGACTTGGCTTGTTTTGAGTTTGTTTAAGCCTAACACTGACTTATCAGTAATGCCAGTTGGAGCTAAGAACAAAAGCACCTGTATAGGCGGATACATCTTAGTTGTGTGTGGAATGTGGCCTTTACAGGGAACATGGCGCAGTGTCGTTTGACAACTTGCTATTTTTAGGAAGTACTTCGCTGCGACTTGAATATAGACTACAGTATGCACAGCTGTAGAGGACTGTTATAATTGTATGTTCACGCACCACAAACAAAATTGAAATTTTTTGAAATTCAAAAGTTGAGTTGTACTGTAGTTTTGTTGTGGCTGTTGGTGTCTACTTGCGTGTTCGGAGGGGTGGTTGTCTTGGAAGGGGTAACTTGTCAACGGTCACAATACGTCAGCTCCAAGCAACAATCCAATTCCCTCTCCGCCACTGCTCTACCATCCTGTTGTGATGTTGGCGCCACGTGTTCACCGTCCACTCCTTCTCTGCATCTGTTTTTGTTACCTTCAGACGACCGCGCATTCTCCACAGGGGTTGCTTTCGGGCATGAACACGTTCTTGGACCTACTGCGCATCACCTTCCGAAGAGACCCCACCAACTTCAGACCTCGAATCAACAAGCTCGACAGCGTCAAGGACCGGGAACAGAAGGCCAGCGGAAACTTCTTCTTCATGGACGCGACAGATTGATTCGATTTGTTGATCGGGTCGGGGGGACTGATGAGGACGTTGTTTGGTTGAGCTTCCCCCTTTCTGTCCCACAACACGTTTCCTTTCCCATGCCGGTAAGCCTCGAGGGACGAGGGCTGGATCGACGGTTCTTGGGTCGATTTTTGATCATTGTTCGCAGCTGAGTATTTGTTATTTCTACAGCCAAGGTAGTCACAACTCGCAGGTAGTAATGTCGACGGGTAATCCTCCCATGATTTCGGTGTGGCGCATCCAACGGGCGCGTTGACCACAAGAATATGAGGGCGGTGCGGGGCTCCACGGACTACAGTGCTGCGCACAGTTTAATTTTCAAATGCGGATCAGCATCATGCACATGGTCCCTGCAGTGAACATGTATGCTGACATGATGCCATATACTACGCTAGGTTAGCGCTGCTCCCCGTCGTTTGTCATTGGCGGCGTAAGAATAAGCGCTTTGATCGCTCAACCTTTGGCTGCACCGTCGTTGCCCCATGTGCACTGGCACTTGAAGTCCATTTTGGCATGATTGGCGGAAAAGACGCAAATCGCGTCCCCATCTACCAAAATCACAAGCGAAACGAAAAAAAAACGTCTGTTTCCGCGCTGACAACTCTCCATGTAGTAGTTTGCCGATATGATCACTGGTGCACCATACCTATATGCTTTAGTTCCGGGCTCCGCAGGTGCAAGCAGGGTGGCAGCGACGTCAAGTTTTGCACGATCTATGGAGTGAACCCACAGGAGGAGGGGGGGGTGGGTACCCAATGGCGATTATCTGACTGTTCCCTGGCAAAAAAATCGGTAACAACTCTCGGCTCATCTGTGGTCAACACGTGCTGGCGCCTGTGGTAGCACGATCGCGCTTGCGAGGCTGGGTATCGTCAAGTATTAACGAAATAAACGTGCTGGTTGGTGTGCCCAGTGATGACGTGGAATGCGCTCCATGCAAGACTGAGTTTTGAGCAAGTGTTCGACAAGCCCGACAGTCATGGGCTCACACACAGACAAGCGCATGACGAGTTTGTTTTCGTTTTTTATTCACCACCGTCCTCGGTAACAAGGGCAGACTTTCGCGGAAAGCCAAAACCTTCCAATCAAAACTAACCGCGCTCGAAAGAAACCAACGCGACCATCCGGTGAGGCACGAAAGAACACGCCACCGCCAAGCAATGCTCAAGAGAAGAGTGTCTCGACGTGGCGACCACCAACACCCTTATTCCTCCAGCAGAATCCACAGAAGCCGCCTACTTCGTCCACGAGGGAATTGCAAGAGGTTAGCTCGACGTTCGTTCCCTCCCGCGTCTCTTGGTTTGGCTTAGCCCTCATCGTCCTGGACAATGTTGAGCTTCTCGCTCACGTAGATACCGTCAAGGAACTTACGGATATCCTTCCGCTTCACCGACGTCGACTGCTGGATGCGCGCCGCTGTGACACAGTTGACAGTTCAAGGCGCGATATAAGTTTGTCAGATTTTGAGCGCGGGTACGCGAAGGAGGGCGGGGGGGTGATCAATCTGTCGTGTAGACAAGACATCGGGGTAAGTGAACCATGTTATGACACTACATTACGCGACTTCGATCATCTACGGAATCTCGTGTCATGGCCATGGCGGGATGCACACCAGCGGTGTTCACGAAGCCTTTGCTTGTCAGACCAGCAAACGGCATGCCTTCCCCATGCCCTTACATTGTCTACACACACATCCGAGGATCATCCAATCCCCGCGATAGGTCAAAGATCGTTCGTCGTCGACAACGAGACAGGCCCAACACGCCCTGTTGGGGGAAAACACAACACACCACAACAATCCGCCAACGGGCGGTTCGCCAGACATCGGCAAAACACCAGGCTTTCGAGGACACTCCCGACCAGCAACCACTGGAGATGTGCCGGCCCGGTGTGCCCATCAAGTGCCGCATACGCAACCGAAAAATACTGTTCCTTTATTTCCAGGAAAGACAGAGCAAGATGTCCCTACTTGGCTCAATACAGCTATTTATGCCGAGCCGTCTTGATCTTTTCCAACCTCGTGCGACAATTTGGCCCTCTTGTCCTCCCTTGACCACAACGCGGCCGCACCCACGTCGTGAGCAGAATACGCCTGGGAACGGGCAAGGATTGGCCAGCTGTATCCGTCTACTTTAGATTTATACCTACGGCGCGGCATTAAAAGGGCACGCGCGCTACCCACCTACAATCATGGCCTCGACTCTGACCGCAACGGGCCAAGCCACCCGTCCAACAATGGCGTTGCTCCTGCGCTAAACTAACATCAATCAGGCATTTCACTCATCTCGGCCGCAAAATAAACGGTTCGAATGCATGCACAAGTCGACACACTTCGGATAACTCAAGCAACTAATGAGTTCCTCCCGATCTATTCTTACAACGAGGCAAATAGTGTTCCAGTTTGTAAAAGGACGACGATGAAACCATGGACGAAGGCTTACCGGTCATGGAAACGGCCTGGATGTCGTTGCCGCTGAGCTCGATCTGGTCCTTTACGTCCGGGGTACGTACGTAGTCCACACCAGGAGCCAGCTCCACCCTGGAACGGCATCGGAACACGTCGCAAAAACAACATTCAAAATCGTCCCAAAGGGTTCCAACACCACTTCTCGTGTGCCGAAAACATCGACGGTGGAGGGTGGTGGGGTCGGCAAACCGCGCAAGATCTGCCCATGGGCATCAACATGCAAAAACAAACATGGATTGTAACCCAGAGTGAGAAACATACAGTAGCCGATTCTCCTGCGCAAATAAGCAACAACGGTTTTTGGGCGGGAAGAGGAAATCACAGCACCGCTGCGGGCGACGGTAAAACCATCGGGAATATCACCAATTTTTTTAGCATCAGCGACGATCACCAAAATTTCAGACTTGGCAGCTCCCGGACATATTTCCAACGGAGAGATGGCCTGTTCCGTGGTACTATTACGCACATTCATTCACTACAACGGCATGTCAAACAGAGACGTACTGTAGACGTTACACACCTGCGAACGCGCTTCTCGCCGAGGAAGTTGCGGATCTCGACGGTCTTTCCCGTGATGGACACGTTGATGGGGAAGTGAGCGTAACAGAAGCGCATCTTGTACAAGTAGCCCTTGGTGACGCCGGTGATCATGTTCTCGACGTGCGAGCAGATGGTGCGGATGCAGGCAACCTGCCGCGTCACCACACAATAATAAGAGGAGATGAGTTGGAATTTTTTAGCAGGCGGCACGGAAGGGCGGGGGGGGCAAGGCCAACGGGGAGAAGCAGGTCAAAACAGGAAAGGGAAAGGGGGACGTGTAGGGCATCAAGTTGCAAATATGTCTCCGGCATATTCAGCAGAGTAGGACGGCCGACACAACATGCATAGGTACACTCACGAGTGCATTTTGATGATGCCGCCACTGAAATGCCTTGGCACGATGCACATTACATCTCATCGTGTCCGTGTGCCATGAGCTGTCGAGCACAGGGACGAACACTTTGATGCCAACCGGTATTTTTCAGAGTTAAAAGATGAAGTTGGGTTTCGCCATTCAGAAGCACAACAAAAACCGTTACACTCAAGGTTTGTTGTTCGTCGCAGCAGATAGATGTACTTGTAGTGGCTTTGGGTGTGCCGTGAAGGTGGGAGTGAGTCATCGCAACCCCCCCCCCCCCCCCCC